ATTCGATTAATTACAATTAATTACAATCGATTAATTACAATCATATTATCAGCCAAATTCAATTAATGAATGAAAACTTTTCAACAAAAATTATTTCCTTCCATGAATATTCATTCATTTTAAAATGTAATTCAGTTCAATATTTTATTTTTTATTACAATTGAATATTTTAATGATTAAATTTAATTAAACTTTAAACGCATCTTAACTTATTCAAATTAATAAAATTAATAAAGCTAATTAAAAAAAATAATAAAATTAATAAGATTAGGCAAACTTAAAAATTATTAAAATTAATAAAGTTAAGTAAAAAATTAATAAAGCTTCCTCAATTTTCTGATTTCAATAAAAACCATCGAATGATATTAATGAATTAAAATAATTCATACTAACTAATAGCTAAATGAAAAGTATTGCAAAAGAAAATGTTCGAGCTAAATATTACAAAAGAAAATGTTGAATACCTTAATTAGTCTGTTATTTCGGCGTTGTTACCAGCGTTTTTAATTCCGAAATTTATTGCGGCGTTTGAACAGTTAAGAAGCAGTTAAAAAACGGCAAAAGAGAGGAAGTTTGNTATTACAAAAGAAAATGTTGAATACCTTAATTAGTCTGTTATTTCGGCGTTGTTACCAGCGTTTTTAATTCCGAAATTTATTGCGGCGTTTGAACAGTTAAGAAGCAGTTAAAAAACGGCAAAAGAGAGGAAGTTTGTTCCTTTGATTGACAAATATAAATTTTCAACAAATTGTTAAGATAGGGTGAATTATTCATTTTTTAGACTGATTGATGAAATTCTACTCTCTCTTTCTTCGTCTTTTTAATATTTGGAATCATAGAGAGAGAGAGAGGGAGAGAGAGAAAATGGAAGAGAAAGAAAGATATGAGAGAATATAAAATGTTTCAAACTATTTCGATGAATAGATAGATAAATAAATAATAGTTGAAACAGTAAAATAAATTTCCGGAATAACCGGATATTTTTTTGTTATTATTATTTACGCATACTTGTGCTATTTTATTTCAAATCTTCAATACGGTTTTTTCGTTATTCATTTTATCAAGTTTTTTTCTTTTGTAATATTAAATCGGAATTTCGGAAATTCCGAAAGTGATGATTAATGAAACAAATGTTACGTTATTTGTTTGCAATTTTGTCTTTCACATTGGAAGTAAAAGCTTGGCCGGTTTTTCAGAATTAAGAAAAAGGAAAAGTTCAACTATAGTTCTATTCAACATTACATTAGAATGATATGAGAGAGAAATAATCAGGAAAATATTACTTCGGAAAAACTTATTCCGTACTGCTCCATTCTCTCTTCCTGTTTCTTATTTCATTCTCTGTATTACAATGTATGTCGTCAGTTACGTTCTTATCTTATTATTGTTATTGTCATTATTATTATTACTAATTATTATTGTGATTATTAATGTTGTTATTATTATTGTTATTATTATTATTATTATTATTATTATTATTATTAATAATCATCAAATTTGCTCATCATTTGCTCGTCATCAACTTTTTCTTATACTCCAGAAATATCAAATCCTAGTCTAGTCGATAACTTAGTTCAATGTAATCNTTATTATTATTATTATTATTATTATTATTATTATTAATAATCATCAAATTTGCTCATCATTTGCTCGTCATCAACTTTTTCTTATACTCCAGAAATATCAAATCCTAGTCTAGTCGATAACTTAGTTCAATGTAATCTAGTCCAGTTTATAACTTAGTCTACTTTAGTCTGTAATCTAAAAATCTGGCTCACAACTGTCTTAATAATCAAATTCCTGACAGAATAATCCAATTTGTACATTAATATAAAATGAATTCAAGAAAAAGGGAAATGTGTCATTGGTGAAAATTTTTGAGCAAACATAGAAATAAATGAAGTAATATTAAAAATAATGGGAAAAATAAATCACACAATCGGAGTTCACACAATCGGAAAACCTGATTAGATAGATTAATTAGAACTGTAAAAGGTTAACATTGATTTGATTTTATCAAATTAAAACAATCATATTCAATTTTTATTTGCCATCTCCCAACAAATCTGACAATTTTAATGATTACTAATTAATTTTTATTTGTTTTATTTGAATTATTAATTTAATACTTTTCATTTATTTATTTAATTTTATCATTTAGAAAGAGGAAATTTATTAGTTTTTTCATTGAAATAAAAGGAAAGAATTTTTTCTTATTCGTTCAGCTGAATTAATAATATTATTTTTAGTTTTTAAGTAATTAATTAATCGAATTTATTATGTCAACTTATTCTCTTATTCATAATTAAAAATACAATTGAAATAAATCAAAAAGATATTCAAACAATCGAAAATTGAAATTACGAATAATAATTATAAAAGATCAAAAAGTTTTGTAAAAGTTAAATGAAATCGTAAATTCAAATTAAATTAACTTACCACGGTAGCGCTATCAGAAATTTTTGAACCACTTGCAAGTTTATTAATCGCGGTAGTCGTGGTAATATTTGTTTGGGTGGTAATTGTTGGATCACCGGATAAATGAATTGTTGACGGTGGATTACTATTGTATAACGTATCTCTCACTGGTAAGCTATAATCATACCAATAATTTATAATATTATTAATTATTGAGAATAAGTCTAAAAAATAAACAAATATTTTATTTCAATTATAACTACGTAGCATAATTTTGTTAAAATAAGTTTAAGAAGAGAAAAATTTTGATTTACCTTATATTACTATTATCTGTTATATATTCATTATTATTACTATTATCGTTATTATCACTACCATTATTATTATTGTTATTATTTTTGTAACAATTTTTCTTTGATGGAAAATTAATCTTAACTTTGAATTGAGAACTTTTTAAATTAGATGGCACTGAAAGTTTCAAAAAATAAAAACAATTAATGACTAAAAGCAAGTTATATAAATAATTGACAAAAAGATTTAGAAGGTAATCATTCTAAGAAATATTTCAATATTGCAATAATAATAAACAATAAAAATAGCATGGATAAAAACAATAATAAGCAATAGGTCTTGAAGATTATGATAATATCATCAAATAATATATTTTATTGTCATGGAAATATAAAGTTTTATTTACTTATAAGACAGTATGCTGTAATTTTTTGAAATCAACACTATTCTTCTACTTCTATGGCATCATATCAGATAGCTTCCCCACTTTCATATTTTATACTTTTGCTACAGTATCATTATACATAAATATTACTGTTTATGTACAATGATGCTGTAGCATCTACTATATCTATCTACGGTAAATATTGTATCGAGCATTGTACATTTCTCAAACGAAGCAAATTGGTAGTTCAAAAATATCTCAAACAAATCAGTATGAGAGGAAAATATCTTAGCATTATATTTCAATATTGCTGCATTTTGTAAATTTTACATAAAATTATTGAAAACTTTTAATGGCACCTATATTCAGGTGTGCCGGAATCGGAATAACGAGTTGTAGATACGGTTTCCTCGTATGTTGTTGATTCGCTTCGATAACCTGATTCACCAGTACGTTCAGTTGTTTGCGCCACTTGATTTGTACTGCTTATGATATTTTCGTAATCATTAAGAAATTCTCGTAATGATCCGAATTTGGACCTGGAAGTAAGTTTATTCTATTTTTTACAAAGTATTAAAGCAGTAAAATTCTCAAAACTTATCTTGCCAAGCATCAGTAAGTTTGAATTTAATATTTAAATTTGTAATAGTAATATCAGAAAAATTTTACTTATAGAAAGTTTTACCTTTACCTTTAAAATGCCTTTAAAATGCATACTTATATTATACATACCGAATACATCAATATATAAAGAAATAAATTTTCTATTGAACATCTTATCTGTTGCTTTGATCAATAATTTCTACTGTGCATTACCGTATATTATATTGTATATTACAGGTACTGTACCACAAATTTGGAAACATTAGCATGTTAAGCGAATATAAATTGTGATAGTAATATTTGCAAATATAGAAAGTTTTTCAAAATGGAAAAAACGATATCGCAATATATAAACCTAATATAACGGTAAAAAAATTAATACTTTAATAGCTATAATTAGAACTCCTCTTAAATGTAGAAATCTTTGAAATGCTGAAAATTCAATTGAAATTGATAACATTTGTGCATATGTAATTCATATAATACTAAAATTAAAATTTAAATTTAAAATAATAGAAATATTTATTTCGAAATCATTGTGGTCATTGTGATTGCTTATTTGAAGTGACTATGAAAAGTGCTATTTATTTCATGTAAACATAAATATAAATACGATCCATTCTTATGATTATATTAAAATACAAAGATAATATCATTGGATGAAATGTAATCTCAATCTATAAATCATTTCATTTAATAAAAGATATTTGATGAGAAAATAATTCACCAGAACTTATCATCTGTAATACTACCTTCGTTATTATCATTTTCACCAATACATTCAACAATTCCATTGATATCACTGATATTTCTGCGATTATCGTGTTCGTTTGAAACTATGAATCATTTACGAATTATTCTAAACAATCGGTGATATTTCAACTTGATAATTGACGATCCACTTTTTCTTTTTTTTTTATTTTCATCAACATGACGATAATTGATATCACTTATTAAATAGTAAATTTAAGCATCAACCATAAAGTAATTTAGTTGATTTCAAAAAATGATAAGTGATAATTTTTGATGGTTCAATAATAAATGTATTTAATAGATATTATGAAGTTTAGAATGAAATTGCAAGAGGAATTTCCATCGATTGAATTTATTGAATTGAATAAACCTCCTGAATAATTACGGTAATTAGTCAGAACATTGATAAATATCATTAATGAACCAATAAGGTGAAGCGGAAGCAATTGATAGAAAAACTTTTTCAATATTTTAAAATTGAATTTATCTGAATAAAATAAAATGGAATAAAATGAAATGAATGATAGAACCAATCGGAAGGATCATAATATTATATAAAGAAATGATGGATTACTAACGCAATGATTCATTTACTTTTTCATTCCATCAAATTTAAAAACAAAAGACAAAATGTAATTGAAAAGATTTACGATTTAGATTTTATAAAAAGTTAATCATAAATGATATATCCATCAGATACGATGAATTAATTCATATCAATCAAAGTATCATTTTAAATAAATTTAAAAGTTTCATCAAATTTTGTAGTGGCTAAAAGTTTACTTTATCCATTCTGCTTAGCTATTCGTATCATTTCGAGAAATTACCAATTTTATCGTATAAATAAAATATAGAATTAGAAAGAGACACAGAATTATCTTAATTCATTACAACGATGAATTTTACATAAATTAACTTTAAAATCATTTTATTACAAAATTTCAACAATTTCCTTAATCGATCGATAAATATGTTTTTGCATTGTAAAAGTAAATCTTTTTTTCTGTGAAAAGAAATAGCAAAATTTCAGCAGTTCACTAAAATTCATTTTACAATATATTGAAATGTAAAATGAACTTTGTTCCTATTATTTTGTTTGATCATTTAAAATTAGATATTTGACATAATTCATTAAGTAATAATCAAAATCAAAATTTCCACACAAAATTGAGTTTTACTTCGAAAAATCTTCGAGCGATGAATGAATAGTTCGAATAATTATAATTTAAATTTCAGTATTAATTCAATATTTCTATGCCTCTATAATATAATATAAATTACAAGCGAATTTAGTATGAAAAGTTGTATCAGAGGAAATTAATTAATATGCAAAATTAGATAAATTAATCTGGATGAATTTCGTGTCCTATTGATTTTTATGATAGTATTGTTTTCATATTGCTAAGGAATAATATAATTTAATACTAACAGCTTTAATATTATCTAACTGCATAATCTAAAATCAGTTCCTGAAAAGAAAAGTTCTTAGGAAATAATGTAAGAAAGAATTTTTCGATACAGTCAAATTGTATTAATCCATAAAAGAAAGGAATATTAATTACACAATTCAAATTAATTGGAAGGCATGTAAATTAAGAAGAAGCAAAATTAAGAAGCAGAAGAAGCAAGAAGAAGCAAAATTAATTAAGAAGCAAAAGCAAGTAAACTTAATTAAAAAGTTACTAAGTTAATATTGTTTACATTTCATGCAATAAATTCAATGGTTGGGTAAAATTAAATCTTCTTCAATTGTCTGTCCCTAAATGTACGATTAGCTTTATATTTTGAATTTCACCATTCATCAATTATTTCAATTTTATATTTCAATTCAAATATTTAATCGATATTACAAATTATAATATTATTGCTTATTAAATATTTTATAACGTAAAACTTATGCAAGAAGGAAATTAAAAAATTATTATATTATTACTAAATTACCAATATTCTTATTCTTATTTTCTATCCATTATTATCTCTATTCTTTTATTATATACTATTTCTCTTTATTTCTATATTGAAAGTTTATCACAGATATATTACATTAAAGGCCTAATTTGCATGATATTTTTTTAGAGGAATAGATAAAGAGATACAGGTAAGGTACAGGTAATTATACCGTTATATGGCTAATTAAAAAAAGGAACCGTAGTTCATCCAAATTTCATTGAAACATTAAAAGAGAAGAAAATTTGGTAATTTTTAAATGCATTTTAGTTTTAAATGCAATTTTAATTTTTTTCAAATTCTAGTAATTTTATCCTAAAATAAATAAGAAGTTATTAATTCATTACTGTAATAAAAGATATGTACGATTAATTATTGGGAGAAAATGGTTTTTATTTGAGCGATATGAAAAGCTTTATTTGAAAATACATATGTATAAAAAGATTTATAGTAAATTGAAATTATATGAAATATTTAAAAGATTTAAAAATATATATGAAAGGAAAGATTATAAGAAGGAGGAAGCATTCAATAGCTTATTGAAATGATAAGAAGAAAATTATTGCATTTTTCGATTAAAATAGCTTACTAAAATGAAATGAGAAATAATTATTAACAAATAATAATTTTATCAATTAATTAAAGACAAAAAAGAAAATCTTTTGTTTTAATTTTGAGTCATTACAATATGATTATGCTGAAGAAATAGTTTGATAATTGTTAACGACGAAAGTTTCAAAGGACAGAATTATAAAATGATTTAGATTTTATTGAAAATAAATTATTTCTATTAAGATAGTTTTAGTATGTCGAAAATTCGAAATTGCATTTCTTATTTTGATCGTATCATTTAATTATCAGTGAAATGTAAATTTCAGATTTATTTTATGATTTTTTGGCGAAGGGAAATATGATACGATGGCCGTAGTATTTGATTAGATTTAACAAATAGAATAAAGTTTCCTTTTATTCCTTTTTTATCAATGATATAATAAACTTTCGATAGCCAATGATATGATAATGAAATTATTAGGAAGTAAACTTTTCCTTATCATTTCTCCTATGCTTTTCATTTTTCAACTTAATTTCCTATATTTCATTGTAAAAAAGTTTCAATAATTTTTACAAGTGAAAATGCTTAATGACAGCCATACTTTCATGATCATTGAAAAGTGATAAAAAAAACTTAAATTTGAAATAATTTTAAAAAGGTTGTTTTTCTAGTCTGCAAATAGAATTATGAAATGAAATCGATTTCTGATGTGTTGTAAAATTTAAATTATTGATTAAATAAGCAGATAAGAGAGAGAGAGAGAGAGAGAGAGAGAGAGAGAGAGGGAGAGAGAGAAGAGTGAACTAGAAATAAATCAAAACTGGCTCAATTCGGAGGACAAATAATACTTTTGCAATTGAATAAATAAAATTTCATGCTTGTGAGATAAATATTTACATGCTCACATTGTCGTATATCACTTTGGTAATAATTACAAATGATGCTTTTTTTTTGTATTAGCTATAACGATCGGATATTATACCCAAATCCAGTATATTTAAGTATTATCGCGTGATATAAATAAAATACTAATAAATTCATGTTATATTGAATTAATTAGCATAATTAATTACGGATAACATATTACAAATACTGAAATTAATATCGAAATTTAGATATTAAATTTCTATCTGACCGACTTTTTCAACGACTAAATTGTTTATTGCCATTTATTTACTCCTAACTGCTATCTGCGTAAATGTTACTACATGTATACATGCGTATCATGTAATCGCATAATAGTATATAATTATTTTGCAGTATATTTTATTGCTATTTTTATTACTAACTCTCACAATTATTACGATTGTTGTTATTACTATTTTTGCTATTATTATCGTCAATATTATTGCTGTTGTTGTTAAAATTACTTTGATAATTATCACTTATTATTATTAATAATAATTGTCATCAATGTTCACGTGATGCTAACGGTTTAATAAAATTAGATATTGCGTATATTCGCATGATTTCATAAATGAATTTTTTAGTGTTGCGACGTAACATAACGTAATAGTAACGTGATTACGTTTAAATTGTATACATAACGCTTCTTGATTATGGTAAAATTTATACTAATTATCTATATGTATTATCTATTTTACAAGTCATTATCACTATTGAAATGATTAATTCTACATTATGTAACAAATTCATGAAGTTAATTCATCATATTTTCATATCCAAATTCTAACCAACCTCATGCCTGTTCGTTTTCTATCACTGTCCATTATGTTTCCATAATTTTCATGAATTTGATATCCTCTACGGTCTTCGCTAATAGATGAAATCCATTCATCAGAATTCCGCCTACGTTCACTGAAATATTCTCGCTCTTCACGATGTTCATGATAACGTTCACGTAGTTCTTTCCTGTGCAGTCGCTCGTCGATTATTTCCGGTTCATATTGTACCTTAATTGACCTTCCTTAGAGGTTAAAAAAGGAAAATGAAAATTAATTAATTAGGAATTCAACTTTTATGACGTATTTGTTTTTTTTTTATTAATTTAATTAGGAATTTAACTTCTGTGACAAAATACATCGTTTAATTTCGATATTAAATTAACTTTTCTCATGAGTGCTTAAATTCATTTCAAATTCCTCAAAATTAAAAACTTACATAGCGTGGAGGAGTGATGGAATCATCAAGCATTGTTTCAACAGCCATTGAGATCTGAAATTTTAATTGATGAATTAACTTTCATATATTAACTTGTGGAAAAATTGAACATATATTTTTCATCATTGTGACTAATACAAAGATAATAATACTTTTACATGTCATTTAATTTGAACAACATTACTACAAATCAGTTTCATATTTCCGAATTTAATTTTAACTATCCCAAAAAAACTTTCCATTCAAATCGTGGAAATTCTTTGATTAGAAAAATGAAAGAGAGCTACAAAATAATAATTTCAGTTCATATTTTAAAATTTAAATTTCTAAAATCCAAAAAGTACCCATCTTCGTTGTATAATATTAGATGGGTAAAATACATTTTTAAATGTTAAATAAGTAAGATATTAGCATATTCATTATGCTAATAATAAATATGCTAATATCGCCTAAATTAAATATCGAAAAAAGAAAAAGTAAAAGTAAAACAAATGTCGTGTGGAATTAATATGAAATGTTACGAATAATTAAATGAATTATCATTGATTAATTGAAAAGGATAGCTTTTTTATCATTTCATTTTCAGACTTTAGGGATATTTTAGTGATAAATCATATTGATAAACCTCGACTTGCATGTATCCTCCGCTATTGTCACCATCATTCGTATAATTATCACGACCTTGTCTTACCTGGAATATATATATTTAAGTAAAATTTATTAAACTTTACCTCGTGTTACCTGAAATATAAATTTTTATTATTCGATAAAATTAAATAATTTCACCAATACTATGCATACTATTTTTTATTTTAAAAATCGATTCCAAATAATCTGAAACTAAAGAAAAAATTATTTCGTTTCCATATGGAGTTGTGTTGTTGAAATTAAATCGATCTTCAAAATGCAAATTTGTTATCGAAAAGGATGTACGTATTTTTGAAATCACTTTTGCAGAGATAAATGACAAATGCAAAAATAATTTCACGAAATGGATTTTGAATCTTGAAAAAGATTTTTATTTGCACGTTTCTAAGTTTTTAAAATTATCGTACTAAGCATTTTGTTTTTTTCAACAATTCTTGCATTTGAAAATTTGAAATCTTTTGTGATCGCTAAAATTGATAGTTTGAAAAAATCACTTAAAATCTAGAACATTAAACGAAAAACAAAAATTCTAAAATTTATATTCATAAAATCAATATTTAAATTGACAGCTTGTTTAATGAAATTTGAAACATATATTGAAAACAAAAAAAAGAAATGAAAGCTAACTTCAGTTCGTTCAACAATCATACGACTGCGACTTCGAGATCGTCGTCGTTGTTGTTCACTATGTATCGCTGGCATTAATTTCGCTAATGATTCCGATTCTGATGGATGTGGCATCTTTCGATCTAAATAAAAACAATGGAAAATTTTTTGATTGCTATTTTTGAAATTTTAAAATTTGAATCAAATGATGTGATTATCATTATTTATTGATAATGATTGATTAATAATGGCTTTTATCCGTCTAATAAAACAAATATGTCACAAAATTAGTTGTCACAATTATTGAGGAAGTTCGCTTTTGGAGATGAGATGAAAGTTATTAAGATAAAATTTGCAATTAAGTGGAGTATGATAATGAAATAATTGCGCAATTAGAAAACAATGATTGATTTGGCAATAAAATGTTTTTTCCGAAAACTATGAATTTCACTTTAAAAAGTTCAACAATGAATGAATTATAAATTACCCTTAACAGTTCCAGCGTTTTTCATAATTTACTTTTCTAAAACCACAATTACACTTTATCGAAAAATTGAACTATATAACTTTAAATAGTCTCAATCATTCATTTTTAAGAGACAAGAAAATTAAACTTTCAGAAATGATATCGTATTTTTGCTTATGGATGATGATGATGATGATGATGATAGTAACAGAGTTATTTTGACTAAAACGATGTATTAAAATTGAATGATTAAAGAATCGAAGAAGGATCGATGAATGAATGATTGAATGGTTGAAGAATGAAAGAATCGATAAATGATTGAATTTGTCATTTACTACGATTGAAAGTGACATGAATTGTACTTCAAAAATTAAATGATTCAAAAGGGAATGATTTAAGAAAGAATTTAGCAACATTTCTAGCAGTCAGTAGTCATATTATAGGCAGCCAGCAATAACAGCAACAGCAATAACAGCAACAACAGAATTGAACAAAATAAACAAAAGGTGAAAGAAAAATGGAATAGAGAAAGTATGAGTATGAAATGCTTATGAAAAGTTGCTTATCATAAGCATTTTCATAATCATATTGAATTGTATAAAAATTCCATTTCCTTTTTTTCTTTTCTCTTCTCTTTTCCCGAGAATTTTCTTTTCCCTCAGAATTATTCATCGGTGATTGATTCATTCATTTTAAAAATCAATTGAATTTGAAAAAAAGGCAAAATATAATGAGGGAAATGAAGGAGGCAAAGGTTAAACGATAATTATGGTAGAGTTTGCAGAAATTCTTCACTTTTATTTATCGCTGCAAAAGTTTTTTAATCCATTTCAAATTTTTTAAATGAGTAAAAAAAATATTTGATAAATAAATAAAAAATAATTCCAAATTTTCGGTATAAAATCAAAATTCTGAAAAATTATGTAATATTTCGTTTTGAAAATAAAATAAATAACACAAAAATTATTTATTTCTTTTGTTTCTATTCAATTAATAATTTATGATTAATGCAAAATATTTGTTTCCTTCACGAATTATTCCTGTGATAATAAATATTTCGAAGAAAATAGAATTAATGGGTTTGAATCTTTTCGGATCATAATGAATCATATCGTTGATGTTCGTATCTTTTATACTAATTTCTTACCTTTACCTTTCAAAATAATAATAAAAGATATATATGTGAATAAATATTTGAAATGATATTTGGAAGTTTTTTTTCTATTAATATTGAAATTACTATAAAAGGTACGAAGGTCAAAGAAATGCATCGAAAGTTCAAAAATTATTCAATTTCGTTACAAATTTTGCTTTATCAACTTCTCACTGTATCCTTCTCCAGGAAATCGTAATGAGTCTTAACTTGACGTATTCTGTATTTGATGATATTCCGGTTGACCGAATAAACTTATACAATTTGATTGTTAAACCTTTGTTGGTTTAAAGTATTATCGAAAAGATTTGCCATAGTTAGACTTTACCACCAAAAATTTCTTAAATTACTGCTATTCTCAAATTCTGATACGATATCCAAAAGTGGAATTTTACAGTTGTACATTTTTTTTTTATTGCTTTCAAATGATATCCTAAAATGATCGTTGAATTACTATTTAAAACAATCTTCTATGTGTATGTATTTTGAAATCAAAAACTTATTTATAAAGGAAGAAAAGGAAAAAAAGGTGGCAACAACGAGTATTATGTTGAGTTTCTAAATTAACGAGTTTCTCGTGTTATTGACAAATAATTTAGACAACTTTTTTTTTGGATTTTATTGTGAAATAATAAAAAAGAAAGAAAGAAATGAATAGGCTGTAAGGAATATTATTATTATTATTACTGCAACAATAATTAATTCTATTTAAATTCATTTTCTATTACAGGAATTGGAAGAAGGTGAAAAAGAGAAATCCTCCTCATATTTTCAGGAAAGATAGATTGTCTTGTGAGGTTTGAGGAATGGAAACGATAATTATAATACCTTTCAGGAACTTTTTTTCCGATTATTATGTTAATATAGCGTGATATTAATAGGCACTGTAATATCAATTTAGATTGATTGATTCTCTTACTTAAGAATCTTCTACAGCCTGTGAGCATTTCAGAATGTACAATTGTGTAGATGACGGAATGCTATAACCGTTTTAGAAGTTAGAATACTTCAGGATAAGACGGATGATGAAATAATCTAAACTTTTGTAAAGTTGCATATCATCACAGTGGATTTTTGGATTAATAGGCCTTACAGAAAAGCAGAAATAATGAATTGAAGAGATGAAATCGATGATAAAGAGAAGAATTAAGAAAATGAATTAAATTCTATTTTACTACAAAATTTAGTTTTTCACTTCGATTTTTTCCAATTGAATACTGAACAGATCGTTTGAATAATTTAATACCTTCTAGAAATTTTATTGAAACTGGTAGGAAGGGTTATGATTGAATCATTTAAATATTGAGGAAAGAACGATGAAAGGAAGAGTTGCATACAAACTAACAACTCTCCGGAATATGCTTTAAAAATGACGAAGATAAAAGACTGAATAATGTAAATTAATTATGATAAAAATAATACCCACTGGAAGCGTGGAAAACTTGTAATTCGATTTTTGGAATTTTACGAAAATTCATTAGTTAATAAAATATAATCAATATCTGTTACTGAATTTGAACTAAATCAAATATAGTATTTCTAGGCTTAAGAAATATAGTATTTCTATTATTGCGAATTGAAGGAAATGAAATTATTATTAGAATTGAATAATTGATTAACATTAGAAATTACAAATAATATAATTTGTTTACATCTAAAAATTTGCCCAAAATGATCGATATTGTATGTGAGAAAGAGGAAAGAAGGGAGAAGAGTTTAAATTTTGAAAATAACAAACAAAGGAAAAGGAATGATAAATAATAATATTAATAATAAAAACAACAATGATAACAACATAATAATAATAGTAATAATAACAATTTGATAGTAATAACAATAATAATATTAATAATATATTATTAAATGAAATGATAACGAAACTGAAAGAATTTTAAATAGTTTAAAGGGTAAACAAAATTAATGATCAATTTTTCGCAAGGTATTATTATTGGATGTTATTGACTTGTTTCCTTATCATATCAAAGCTATCTTCTCTTATCAGTAAATTTATATGCAGTTCGTTAGTTAGTATCAGTTGAAGTATAAATCTACTCGCCCTACTTATGAAAGGTTCAATGGTTTCCTCGAAGCAAAAATCATGAAGTTAATGACTTTTTTTGAATTTCTTCTCCAAATTTAAACTTTAAACATTTTCTTCATAAACATTGATAGTAAAATGCTATTACTAAAATTAATTATTGAAGTAATTTGATAAAATTATAAAATAACGAATGAAATAATCATTGTCAGAAATGCAAGTAAATTTTTTTAAAACTGTCACATTTTACTAATTGTTAAGCTTTCGTTAATACTCATTAGCAATATTATTCGGCTGAAAGTTCATCTATTAGAATAGGATTATCAGGGGTAAGTATGAAATTTCAGGGTTTGAAATGATTTTCATAGATTGGAAAGATAATCACTATTTAATAAAATGATGGTAATTAGCTGCCAAAAATATTTTATGGTAAAAAAAGCACTGTTTTTTGAAATACGAAAATTATTTTGAAGTTAAAAAACTATCGCCACAAAAAAGAGAAAAGAAGTTGAAGAAAAGTTAAGATTGAAGATTGTGAGATTATGAGAATGAAATATCGGAAACTTTAATAGAATTAAAATATAGGAAATATTTTATTAAAGAATAATCTTTCGACAAATAATATTTGTAATCCATAATCTATATGTTATTATTAAATTTTCAAATATTTCAATATTCCTTTCTTGCGTAATTGATAGTCCTAATTAGTTCCTGTACAATTGGGCTAATTTTTCGGATATTACCAAAATACGGCCCAAAAATAATATATTTTAGCAGTAGCATTGTTTTCTGCTAATTATATAATTAAATAAAGCAAACAAAAAATAGAGAAATGGTCAATACTTCCTAATTCAATCGGTCATTTTTCAAAATTTTCTGCAAAGTTGTAAAATTTAAAAATGGATAGGATGGATTTGCTGAATAACGATTACGATAGGACAATTTAATTTTTACTTCAACAATATTATATCAATAAAAAGTACGAAGGAAAATTTGCTCGTATCTTTTAATTTTCCTTTTTCAAATGAAAGTAAGCTGTAATTGTGATATAATAGATCGTAGAAATTCGACGGGTTTCATTCATTCATTTATTGAAGAATAGATAATTCTAAAGTGATAGACGTTTTTCTCATTCATATTTGTCATCAAAATTTTCGATTAGAAATTAATAATTTGTCTAATAATCGCTTTTCTAAATTTAAAATTAAAAATATTTCACAGTTAATTTAGTAAAGTAAAATAGAATTAAAATATAAGAGAGTAAAGACAACAAAATGAATTTATTCAAACAAAATTCTAAAATTATCCTAAAATAACAACGGATAAATTTAGGTGAAAAGGAAGGCGTTGAAATGTTTAATATTTTGTTGAAAAAAGAGACGAAAGAAAATGGTTAGAATTTTTTAGGACATTTTCAATTTAATAGTTTTTTGTTATTTTGTGATAATAAATTTTAGGATCTTCTTTTCCTCGTTATT